CACTCATTCTATATAAATGAGTATGCACGTCTATATAAATATTGTGGGCCTATCCACTGCAAGACTCTTAATTAAAAATCAACGTAACCATGGGGACGTGTACTTCTACTGTTATTTTCTCAATGAATAGGGCGTTTACTGTTAAAAGCTCTTGATTTTTTAGCAAAGTATTTTGTGTTTAATTATGTTTCTGAGGTTGAAAAAGTCTTTGTAAAAAATGGCGCAGTTTAGATGCCGGTCGGAAATTTCAGAGCCGGACAGGGATACCCGGCGAGGTGAGAAACCCTGTGATAATTATGAATGTTTTATTAACATTTTAACAGAATATTATGTTACAAAAAGATGTTAAAGAGGTTGCCCGTCGGGACGCACCCTATTTATTATTGGTTGCCCGACGCAGATATTTGGTTGCCCTGGGACGTCGGGCAGGCGATTCTGCGAGCCCTGATTAATTTGTTAGCCTTGACAATTGTTCGTGAATCAGTAAAATCTTTAGACATACCTCTTTAAATGCTCCATAAATGATTACATTTATAATGCACGGTAGTTAAGTCGCAGGATTTTCTTAGGTGACAGCTACCGGAGCTAGCCAGCATACTGGCACCGAGATACCTCTGTGTATACGGTAGAGATGGCAACGCCATTTCATCATCTGGACAGCGCATCTTCCTTCACTTGGCGAAGGTTCAACTTATTTTAATATATATATATATATATGTGTGTGTGTGTGTGTGTGTGTGTGTGCGTGTATATATAAAAGCTAACACACACATATATCGCTCCCAATAACTCTTGTAATGGTGATTTCACCAGACAGTGGCATGGAGGTACAGACGTACACACGTACGTTTCTTGATCCGGGGTCAACAAACACCTTCAGTTCTGACAAGCTAGACGAGAAGCTGATGGCAACTGGAAGACGGGAAGACCTACTGATCAATACAGTTGATAAGGCAGATAGCAACATCCCTACTAGACTTATTAGCTTGGAGGTATGTGCTATGGATGACAACGACCGTGTATCGTTACCGTGTGTTTATTCGATAAATAGTCTTTGCATACGTCCACCTGGTTTGGTACATTCCGGAGGAATCGCAAAGTGGCCACATCTTAAGAACATTTCGATACCTCAACTTGAATCAAGTGATATTGATCTCCTTATCGGTCTTGACGTTCCTGAGGCGCTTCAACCTCTTGCTGGAAAAAAGGGAGAACCATACGCAACGAGAACATGCTTGGGATGGGTGCTAAATGGACCAATCGGTAAACAGTGTACAGGAGTTGCGAGCTCCCACTTTGTGAGTCGGCGTAATGACGAGTTATTGGACCAGCAGCTGAAGAAATTCTGGGTTTGTGATAGCCTGGAAGGATATGGAGAAGATAAGGTAATGTCACTAAACGACAGAAAGGTACTGAAATTCTGGGAGAATAATGTTAAACAAAGGGATGGAC